TAACTTTTTTTTTTCTTTTTTTTTTTTTTATTAATGTTAGAGAGACAATAGTTGTACCCAAGCCTCTGTGCGCACAAAGATCGATATGACTCGTCACTATCGGCTATCCCGTAATATTGTGGGCAAGTGAACATCGTAGGCGCGTATATCCCGTGAATATTATATACACTTACAAGAAGCCGACACGGCGCATCATATAGTACCCGGGGCGCGACGGCGCAAGTGAGTGTAATTATTACGGACGGCTATTGTCATAGCGGTGTCCCTTATTTATAAATGTATATATATATATATGTATATATTTTGTTGTGTACGTGTATACAAGTGTCGTTCGTCTTTGGAGATGTGGGTATACTTATACGGTTAGAGAGCCGCTGGTTATTCGCGGGGGAGGCCAATTTTGTCGGCTGCGACCGTGACCATAGTGGTGGGTGTATATTTGTATGGACACATAGTCACCGAGGCTCGAACACATTTTTCACAGCGTGACCGGTAGGCTTCTTCTTCTGCCAACTTTTTTTTTTTTTTTTTTTCTTTCACCATCACGCAGTTGGGCGCTTCGGACGATTAAAAATCCTCTCCTCCGGTGTTTACGGGTGTATATATATGGGGGGTGAAAACGCGCCCGCGTCTATATATATATAGTATACGTATAGCAAAGCGCAAGAAATCACTTTCACTCTCTTCGCTCCCGTCGACTTCTTGTAGATTATTACCCCGATAGTCGCGGTCACTTATTTTTCGACGCGTCCATCCTTTNTGCCAACTTTTTTTTTTTTTTTTTTTTCTTTCACCATCACGCAGTTGGGCGCTTCGGACGATTAAAAATCCTCTCCTCCGGTGTTTACGGGTGCATAATATATATGTATACTCTTGGGAAAAACTAAGGGGAAGGAGTCGAGTCCCGGAACGACGGGTACACAAGTTTTTTTTTATTATACACCAAGGCCGCCCCGCTCGCGCGTGTTACAATCATGCATTTGGCATTGGGTCAGGGCGTTACCGTTTCTTAATCGCGCTCCTTTTTTCTATAGAAAAAAAAAAAGAGCAAAAAAACAAAAATACAAAAAAAAATTACAATGTACGATCGTCGTTTGCTTCGAAGCGTCGGCGCGTGACATATTAGTTTCATGTGTACAAGAGATCGGTATGTAACGCATGCAGCTACTGATGCGGAAATGTTTGCCCGATCTCTCAATGCACCGGCCGACAATTTCAATCGCAGCCCCTTTGTTTAACTTTGGATTAGAAAAAAAAAAAAACCATGCATGTATACCTTTCGATTTCCTTTTAATTGTCTCCGTAGCACCTGCACGGGTATACATATATATGTATAGCGATTTTTCCACGCTTACGTAAAAGCTGCACATATACGCCACGCGTCCCGTTGGCCGTCCACTTCGGACTCTTCCGCCCAATAACTGTGCTCCCTGTGTTTTTTTTTATACGTACTCACACGACACGTGGACAAACAAAAGACGGGGCAACAGTATACAGGGGATATTTTCCAAGACGGGTCGCAAAAAAAAAAAAAAAAAAAAAAAATCGGTAATAAGATACAAGAGTACAACCGATTTTTCTCTTTAAAGGCCATGTAGCAGCCAAGGGCGTCGTCAATCGGAGCCATCGAAGAGGGAATAAAAGCTCCATCAAAGCTCAAAGAGAGAGAGAGAGAGAGAGAGCGGTGATATGCACGATGGGTAAGCCACCCGAGGGTGGAGGCTCGTTCGCCCGTGCTCTCCTCCTGGTGTCCGGTTGGGCCGTGCTCTGCGCCGGCCAAGAGTATGGCTGCCCGCCCCAGGAAAAAATACTGCCCTGCAGGTGCTCCACCCGGGATATGGAGTTTCAGATATGGTGCGTGTGCCCGTGACATTATATCTATATGTATACGTATACTTGATTGGTCGTGTTTCCTCGAACCGCGTCGAACAAACAATCAAACGGATCTATATAGGTGCAGCCACAGCGAGTTACCCCGGGTGCTGGAGGGCTTGCAAGCGGTCAGCCGTCACGTGACCCACCCTGTGGACGAGCTCATTCTGGAGAACAACAACCTGCTGAGTCTGCCGGGGCACGTGTTCGCGAGCTTGCGCGTCCTACGGCTGATGTTGCGCAACAACAGGCTCGAGAGGGTGTCCTCGGGTTGGCTCGAGGGCCTCCACGACTCGCTGCTCGAGCTGTTTCTCGTGGAGCCCGAGCTCAGGTCGCTGCCCGTCGACAGCTTGGAGAACCTACAGGGCCTCGAGGCCGTCACCCTACAGAGCAAACTCATCAAACGACTGCCCAGCTTCAGCGGTACGACACGGCTTACCAAACAACACTTCACCCCACCGTCACATTCTTCCAAATTACAATTTTATTCAAGTTTTCCAGAAATTATTGTATGATTATCAAGGCATATACCTTATATAGTGTTGATAAAAACGTACACTATTTCACCACCTGTGTTCTGTGTCAAACTAAACGATTGATTTTCTTGAGCAATTGACACAGGTAGTCTGTAGAGGGTGAAACATGTCTGTCACCGATTTTACTTACGTGTTAAATCTGTGACAATCGAGTTTATTCACTCCACAGCTTTTATACAATGAATTTTACCCCATTCAAAAGTGTCGAGTAAGCGGGTGATACAATTTATGAAAAAAAAAAAAAAAAAAAAAGATCGCGAAGCACTTGACCAGCGCGGCTACGTGTATGTATTGACGAAAGGTCGTCCACGTGTTTAGGCTTGCCGAAGCTGCGCTACCTGCAGCTGAACTCGCCGTCCCTGCTGGAGCTGTCACCCCGTAACTTCCGCGAGCTGGCCTCGCTCGAGCAGCTCCACGTGTTCGGCAGCCCGAAACTCAGCCGATTGGAGGCCGGTCTCCTGCGCGACCTGTCCCGACTGCAACTGATCAACGTCACCGATTGCGGGATCAACTGGCTGCACCCGCGGGCCCTCATCAATCTCCCCGAGCTTAAAGAGCTCTCGTTGGCTGGGAACGCGATTACCGACGCCACCATGGTCGGCCGAGCCCTCGTCGATCTACCGGCCGTCTCGGTCTTGCACCTCGACCGCAACAGGATACCGAGGCTCGAGGCCTCCTTTGCCGACCTGCCCAACCTGTCGAGGATCTCGCTCAGCTTCAACCGCATCACCGAGATCTTTCCCGGTGGGTGTCATACATCACCAATGGGGGCAGGGGATGGGCAGTTATGTATACGTGGGGCGATGCTGATTGACGCTCGAATATTTGGAACAGGTACCTTTCAGCGGGTGCCGCAGCTGCGCACCTTGAATCTCAACCACAATCGCATCCACCGGATCCACCCGGAGTTTTTTCCGCAGCGTGGCCGCGAGGCCAACAACCTCGAGGAGATCTGGCTGATGGACAACGACATCGGCCACGTCTCGGAGATCCGCGCGGTGCTCGAGGCGCTGCCGAGGCTCAAGTTCCTCGAGGCCAGTTTCAACCAGATCCAGGAGGTGCAGTACGGCGCTCTCCACGGCCACTCGAGCCTCGAGCGGCTTCACTTGGACTACAACAGGCTCGCTTTTGTCCACTTTTCGGGCATGCCCGCCCTCAGGGAGCTCAGGCTGCGCAACAATTCCCTCACCAACGCGCCGGACACGCCCTTCTGGGACTTGCCGGGACTCAAGGTCGCTGGTTTTTTTTTGCTTCCCAGTATTAACATTTATTATTATGAATTTTAAACTTACCAATGGAAAAATTTCAATTGAACAAGTTTTGTATCGATATTTTTTCTCCATTATTGGTCAACGTTCAAATTTCCATGGAATACACTTTAACGCGTAAATTTGCATAAGCTCGTATTCTTTTGTGTCTCAAACTCTTCGAAAGAGTAGAGTATCTTGATCGAACGTTGTATATATTCCATGAAAAATCGTTGTATGAAAAATGAAAAAAATAAACTAAAAAAACCTCCCGAAACGTCAAAACTAGGGCCTGGACATATCGGGTAACTTTTTCCGGCACGTCGAGCCGCGGCTGCTGGCAAACCTGCCGAGTCTACGTCGCCTCGACCTCAGCGAGAACGCGATAGCCCTGGTCGAGCCGGACGCCTTCCTCGGAACCCCAGCCCTGGAACACGTGAACCTCTCGGCAAACGCCCTCTCCGTCCTCCACCCGATGACCTTCCGCCACCTGGTCCACCTGTACGAGCTCGACGTCGGCTGGAACCGGCTACTCGAAATCATCCCCGGTACGCCCACGGTCTTCATTTCGCTTCCTCGCGCTTACGAGAACCCACAATATTATTACGTTATATCCAGGACTGCCGCGGAACATCGAGCACCTCCACCTGCCGATGAACCGCATAATCGCCCTACCGGTGAGCCTGAGCTCCGGCTCCCTGGCCCTGCCGCTGCTACGTACCCTCGACCTCAGCGCCAACGGCATCGAGCACCTGCCCATCGGCGCGCTGTCCGGCCTGCCGAGCTTGCGCAAGCTCAACCTGGGCTTCAACGCCCTCGCGGCCATCGAGGAGGGCAGCTTCGACGGTCTCGGGCGGCTCGAGCAACTCGACCTCAAGTACAACAGGATCGGCCAGCTGCACGGCCGGTGCTTCCGGCCCCTCAGAAGCTTGCTCGAGCTGAGCTTGCGGGGCAACAGGCTCGAGCTCATCCGGTCCGACGTCTTTCAGGACAACCCCGCCCTCGCCAGGCTCGACCTGAGCCGCAACAACTTGGCCCAACTCCCACAAGCTGCCTTCGCCTCCACCAGGTTAGTTCCTTTACGAAAAGTTACGACTCATCTCCACGGGTTGGGAAATACAACCAGAAACATAAAAGAATAAGCTGTAATGCGGTAGTTTCACCCAAAGCGTTGCGCAACAACGGCTGGAGAGAAAATTGTCCGTTCGCGTGTCTCTGTACAAATACAACGCACACATACATATACAAGTGCGAACGGAGCCGAGGGACCGTTTCACGGCTCGCGTTAATAAGGCTCATCCCGATGTTACACGCGCGCGCGACAATTAATATTTCGCTCGTTAAAATAAAAAAATAAAAAAAACAAGTCTTTGTCCCCGAGGGCGTTAATTTTAGTTTTGCGAAATCCCACATATTGTTCGCCGGCATGAGCACGAAATTGTAATTTTGTCCAGAGAGCTGCGGGAGTTGTACGCGTCGCACAACGCCCTGCAGGAACTCCCGAGCTCCCTGCACGGTCTCGGGGCCTTGGAGATCCTCGACCTGAGCCACAACAAACTGGCCGTTTTGGCCCCGGAGACGCTCAGCAGCCTCGCGAGCCTCGTCGAGCTAAGACTGGCGCGCAACCGGGTGCGCGAGCTGCGCGAGGGCGCCTTCGATCGGCTGCCGAGGTTGGCGCTCGTCGACCTGGAGAGCAACGACCTGGCCCTCGTCGAGGCCAGGTCCGTCCGCGACTTGCCCGAGCTGCAGGCCATCAAACTCGGCAAAAACCGCATACAGGTAAGCGTTGACCGTTTAGCCCTCCCGTTGGGGCAATTTTGTTGATTTGGCGTGACCTTGTCGTGGCAGACCATACCGAGCGGCGCGTTCTCTGAGCTGCCGGTGCTGCAGAGCGCCGAGCTCCAGGAAAACCGGATCCAGGACATAGCCGCCGGTGCCTTCGTCAACGTGCCCCACCTGCTCTTCCTGAACCTCAGCCACAACCAACTGACCGGCTTGGACAGCATGGGCCTCGACAGCTTGCGCTCCCTCGAGGTACTCGACCTCAGCGACAACCGCATCTCGCGCGTCTCCGGCGACAGCCTAGCCGCCATGGAGTGGCTCGTCGAGCTCAAGGTGAGATCATCGTTTTACCAACGAGTTTTTTCTACACGGCATACATCGTCATGCTCGGGGAGCGCACTTTCTCGCTGAAAGTGAAATCGCTGGGCCCCAAAGTTCCATCTCTCGTGTGATATATATGTATACCAAGTACGTCCCGATCTCGTTTCCCTGCCGAGGTGTGTTTCTATTCTTCTCCTCCTTCTCTTTCCCCTTTCACGATAAAAGTACATATACACACACGGCGTGTTGCATATCATTATAGGGAAAAAGAGTCAGAGCGTGACGCTCGTTGTAGTGTGTGTATACGCAAAACTTTGTGTGTACATCGTGAATGGATACATCGGGGATCTTGTTTTCCTTTCAGATGGACAACAACCGAATCTGCGCGGTCCAGGGCTCGCCGTTCGACGACATGCCCCGGCTGCGCGTGCTCAGCCTCAGGAACAACAGGATGGCCTCGGTCACCGAAACAGCCTTCAAGCGTCTACGCTCCAACATCGCCGTCCTCGACATCGACGGTGAGCCAAATATGTTGCACCATGGATTTATTCATACAAAAACAATATCCAATTCTCAATGAAAATCCATCCACCAGGTAACCCGTTGTCCTGCTCCTGTGGCATGCTGTGGCTACGGGGTTGGATCCAGCAGGCCTCGACCGACGGCCCCCGCTGCGCCGATGGCTCGCTCTTCCGGGACGTCCGGCTGTCCAGGCAGGACTGCCAACGCGAGCGCCAACTCGAGCCGGTCCAGCCGGGTTGCGAGCCCGACTTCTTCGGTACGCACTAACATAAATACAACACGCATCTCAGCCCAAACGACAAACGTGTGTTCCGTTCCTTCATTCCTCGTCTGCGTGTCCACACACAGTGCAAAACACGGAGCCGGCCTCCCCATGGTCGGTCGACAAGTCACCGGCGCGCCATCCCCCGGGAGTCGAGGACGCCACCGACTACGACGCCTACGAGGATTACGAGGAGTACCCGAGCGTGGTCAACTCGAGCGACCTGACGGCCAACTCCCTGCAGGGCGGCAGCGAGCAGTCGGTGCCCGTGGTCACGTTGGCGCCTCAGGCCTCGGCCAAAAACACCTCGCTGGCTAACAATAAGCGCAACCCCCAGATACCGCCGTCGCCCAGTAGCTCTGGATTCACCTTCTTCGGCGTGCCTCTGCCGAGTCTCAGTTTTAGCTTGTGGGGTATGCATGCCGTAACGATTTTCATTGTATTTTTCATAGTGCATATAATATAAAACAAACGGGTAATTTTGCGGTCAGGCAACGCGGGTAAAAAGGAGCGGAAAGACGACTCCTCTGGGTCCGGGGTGACAGCGTCGTCGCGGCCAGGTCGCAGTCGTTACAGGAACTTCCCTCCAACGGAGCCGGAGATCCACCGGGGTGGTTTCGTGCCTTTGCCACGGGGCCAGGGTGGCTTTGTGCCGATCGCCGACCCGCGGCTCGAGGAACGCCGCCCTGGTGGCAACGGGACCGCTGGGACCTTTGGCGAGGGCGTTGGCCAAGTGGTGCTCGAGCGCAAGAGCACCAAGACTACCAACTACACCGTCGGGAAGATCGAAAGGACCTCCGGGGCTCTGCCTCGCAACCACTCGAGTAATTTATTTTTTTTTTTTTGTTTAACTTTTCTGATGCAAGTATAGTTTTCATGGGAAGTATAAAACCACATTCGCACCGCAGGTGCCAACAAGTACACAAAGCTCCGGCATCCGGTGATCAGAGACAGCGAGGAGCCGTCAGCCGAAAATTCGGGGAAACCGGCATTCATCCCGACGCAGAGACTCACGAACAGGGAGCCGATCATCGTCCACCCGTACGAGGGGTCCGTCGAGGCGGACGAGACGCTCATCTCCACCGAGGTCTACCGGGACGAGATGATCGAGTTCTCCGAGGGTGGCGTGGGCAGTAGCTCCGAGATGGCAGGTAGGATCATGTGGACGACCCCGAGGAACTCCACCTCCGCTGGCAACGGTACGATCATCGGTGCGGAGGGTGCCACCGGGTCGACGATGCTCCGAGAAACCGTCACGGCGAGCGTCAGTGTTTTCCCACCAAAGAAGAGGACAGGGCCGAGGGGCAGTACTGCCGGGACCAGCAGACCGAGGGTATCCACGTCGACGTTGTCCAGCTCGAGCGACTACGAGATGCCTACGGGTGAGTAATCATGGATCTGCTTTGGATGAAAAAAAAAAAAAAAAAAAAAAAAACCAATTGAAAAGTGGTTTCAGAAACGGCAAGCAAGCTAGAGGTGCCGGCAAGGGAAAATTCGAAAGGGACTCGGGGGACGATGCTGAAATCAGCACCGGTCACCTACAACCCCGACCTCGCGAGTTCGACGGGCCACACGCGAAGCTCGGAGGCGGCGGTATTCCTGGTGCCGGGAGGCCAATTACCGACGGTGTCCGTGTCGTCGATGAACAACCGGCCGGTCGGCCGGCCGATCATCACAAAGGTCTCGTCGCCGCGCGTCGAGTTGACCAGCGAGAGCAACTTTTTGGGCCCGACCGCGCCAGCGGGGAGTACCGATCGAGTTCCCGGGGAGAAGCCGGAGAAACTGCTGGCCAAGGAAGACAACCACCTGAGCGGCTCGACCCTCGACGAGCGAGTCAAACCGGCCGACGATAGCGCCTTCGACTGGTACTATCGGCAATACAACGACACGAACCTCGAACCTTACGTTGGTATTGTATACGAGGACACGCGCTCGTCGACGAGTCGGGCCATTGTTCTCGCTGTTGCCGGCTCACCCGTGCCGATCTGGCTTTTGACGGTCTACTGCCTTGCGGCTCGCGTGTTTGCCTGATGCGGTTGGAGTCGCAAAATATTGTTGTTTTCAAGCATTACCCACGTGTATTTTACCAAACGTGTGATTCATTTTTATTATTATATAATTATATCAGNCCATTTAAGTTGAATTGATCAATTTTTTGTTTTCCAGGTATTGTCTAATGTAAGGAATAAAAAGAAACGTCATTGGCATGTCAAACAATCAGTTAGTTGATTCTTGTCTGTAAGTATTATTTGTTTTTGTTTTTTCTTTACGTGTATTTTACCAAACGTGTGATTCATTTTTATTATTATATAATTATATCAGAGTTTTTTGTTTTTTTTTTTTTTTTTTTTTTTTACCTATATTATGTCGTTTATGCAGGGATGGGCTAAAGAGGATGCTATGTGGATGTGTTAAATATGTATATAATCTTGGAGCTTCCAGTTTTCCAAATTATTGTTGTAACAAACACGAATTGCATTAATGAAAAAATTCAACCAATTTTTATGGAAATATCGAATAGTTGTGATGGTGTATGTTTGATTTTATGAATGTTTCTCGTCATATTTTACACAAAATACTATATGAATAAATTTAACGCACATCGCTGCCTATAATTACTTGTGTATCTCTGCTATCGTCTCTCTCTCTATATATATATATATATATTTACGTATTAGTTTGTTTTAAGATATCATGAAAAAAGTATTATTTGTACATATAGGTATCAACTATGGTGTAATTGCACATTTTTTAAACAATTACAGAAAAAAATGACAATTACCAAAAAAAAAAAAAAAAAAAATTTAAGTAGATAGTAGATAGTACCCATATTATTATTATGACATTGTATGTAGTATAAAAGCTATATTTTATCGAGATGTTTATCAAATTTCTCAACGACGTGAAAAAGTATGAGACACTTGAACAAATATACATAAGACCGGAAAGTTAAGTGATTCAGGTACATTCATGAAAAACGAAAAATTTCATTTGATTACAAGTGCGTCGCGGAACCACTCGGAGGATAATATTAAACGATTTTAATTGAGCAGCCGAATAAGTAAATTACAATTATGTAAGTAATATTTATAAAAATTATTTAGCACCATAGAGTTTTGTTTGAAGATTTTTCCTTTAGTTATAAACAAAAAGATTGATGGATCAATCTTGTCTTGTAAATGTGTTTATACGATAGAAATATATTAATAAAGTTGTATGTCATACGGAAAAATTCGTTTTTTCGTACTCTCGTACCTATACGTATAAAATTTGACCAACATGTGTGTAAGAATCGGTATTTTCGGCTGAATATTAAAATCAGTTTGTTTTAGATTATTTAATAGTACTACTATACCATATAATTAAAAATGTAAAAGAAAAATATTTAAAAGATCAATCGTGAGCATATTATAAATTAAAAATTCATCTTGTCAAAATTTGTTTTACTTGTACCTAATATTTTATTTGAAAATATGTTTATCCTTCCATGACTAAAAATCCACGCATGACAATCGAAAAGTAATTTTGCATAAAAATTGCAATTTCCAATCGAATGTTCTTGAGAACTATTAATGTATAATTATATATACATCGGAAGCTGGAACCTGTACAGTCACCACGAGAGCGCGCGGGTGAGCAAAGAGGCGGCGGACCACGGGGAGCGGAGGAATATAATGCGGCGGTGGCGAAGTTCCGGAGAACGTGCTTAATCTTAAGTTTTGGATTTACTGACTTTTCGGAGCGATAAGTGCTCGGAGGATGGAAAGTGGCAGTTGCGTGTTGAAACTTATACGGCAAAGGTGCAGCGTGAGTGCGTGAACTCAAAGTAAATGACTGACATGCGGGTCGAGAGGTACCCACCCATTGAATGCAGGATGTGTCGTGCCAAGTGACGGTCGTCATCGCCGAGAACATTTTCGGGAGTAGGTGAAAAGAGTGTGCGATGCAACAAGGATTACATAGACGACGAGGGCGACACTCTCCGTAAAAAAGATATCATAGGTTGTACCGTCCTGTGCAACTATATATCCATCCACCCACCCACCCACACAAAGTCGCGCGCGCAAACGCCAGACACATAGAGAGAGTTTGGGCTGGCGCCCGCACGCCCGTCCTCGTGTGTCTCTTCTCGACGTGGGTGTGGAGATATTATACATCATCCGTTCCATATCCATCCACATTACCTACTTATCCAACATTCGAGACTTTGCCCTACCTCGCGGGTGTACACACTATTACGTGGACAGTAAGTACTCATCTCGCTGGAGAGGACACGGGGTCCGGGAAAGACGCCGAAGGTTGAGAGCCGCTGAGACCGCGGCAGAGTCACAGTCCGTGCCTCGGCAGTGATGCTATAGGAGATCCCTCACTCCCCCTCCCTCCTACTCTTCATCCGATAGCTCTATACCTAGGCGTAGGCCGCGAGAAGCATCGGAGCAGCTTCCGCTCTGGCCACGTACCTCTAAAAATAACGATCATACAACAAGTGTATATCGTAGTAAAGTGTACGGCTGACATTAGTTGGGGATAAACGGTGACGCGCCGCGAGAGCGCGATGTCCGGGCTGCCGAGCCCTAGGCCCAGCCTCGTCAGCTCGCGACCCCCAGGCGGGGGAAGGAAAGCTTAGCACATCTCTCTGGTAATCGTCGGTGCGGTGGTGAAGTTCGCGCAGTTTCGCACAAGTACACACATTAAAGTGCACATAGGCGGCAGGAAGCCAGACTTCCGCCGGCCGGGGGCCCACAAGGCCCGTGGGTCACCTATACACCAGAATACTTGTAACACTGCAGCAACAACGACATCAACCTCAGCGAGTAAGTGGCACGCGCGTTTATTCCTATATACATATTTATAGTACACTCATGCATGCGAATGATACGACGGGACAAAATACACCATACCTTTCCATATAGTAGGTAGATAGATGTTTGTACCCATCACGTAGTACGAGAGATATGGGTACGGGAGCGTAGCTCCGTCTCTCGTATATACTTATAGTAATGTAGTTTTTTTTTTGTTTTTTTTTTTTTATTGCGGCGCATTAATGGGATAATGTATATGTCGTGCATGGGTACAACAATCAGCAGCACATTGTGCTCTCTCTCTCGACGGCGTCAGCAGAGAGCTCCGAAATATCACATTGTGCGTATATATGTGTATATATATATACAAGTTTCTGGGCAATAGTAAACTCTCGTAACATAAACAGATGGACGGTGAAAGGAGTAAGTAGTAAGTGTGGTGTGTGCCAGGCAAGGCATATTGAATCGAGGGGTGGGGCGCCCAGCCGAGTGTGTATATATTTTGTACCTCTTCTACTCTCTCTCGCGTGTGTACAAATATGTATAGTGCCGTGAGATGAGGCCCCCATGCAGCTGCATCAGCCCGATTGATTAGATCTGTTGACTCTGATTGCAGACCGAGGAGAGTAGAAGGAAGAAAAAGAAGAGGCGCGGAGGAGGTGAGCTCCTTGCGTCGCGGCGAAAGGGGCGTGGATGCGAAGGAGCCGCTAAGCTCGCGCGCGTGAGCCACACGACTCGAAACGAGTTGCATTGCGGCCTGTGTATAGCGGCGGCGGCTTCCTAATCGTCGTCGTCGTCGTTCAATCTGGCATGTGAACCGGTCAAGCTGGACCCCGTCGGGATATCAAAGCGGCCTTTACTCCGAGTGTCAACTTGAGAGGGCTGGGAAAAGTGCTCGTCTTCGAGTCGAGCCTGCGGAAAAAGCTTATAGCCAAGGTAGGGGGCGCTCGGATTCCTTTTTCATCCAGGTGGTGTAGTGGTTGTGTCGTAGGTTGTTTAGGTAACATGCTTTTGCTGCTATTAGGGTGTACTTACATGTTGTTATTTTATTTTATTTATACAATACCTATCTGTCATTTTTCCACCTTGCCCTTCATCTCTTCTGCACGTTACGTATGTGTAAGTAAATATACTTACCTATACTCACCGCCGCTCTTCCTCTCGTCCCTTGCCCTCTTTCTCTATCTTCTGTCTCTCTTTCTCCTGAGGTGCTCCACTTTGCTCCTTATTTGCTCCTTTTGCCATTTACCTATACCTACTTATTCCCACCATGGAAATGCTACTCTCTGCACACATTCCGAATCTGTTTGTATTATTTTTTCATTTCCCTCCGTCTTTTACCGATCGCTGCATGTTACTTCCTCTTCCTTCTTATCTTGAATCATGATTTTATTTAAATGTCAGATTTCAATAATGAATGGTCTCACTCTGTTTTGGTGTAAAAATTAAGTTTTGGAATCAATCAATAAAAAAAAAAAAAGTATCGGGTAATTTGGGAAACTATTTTACCAAAGTAAAGATCGTTAGTTAGAGAAAACGTTACATTTCCGGCATTCTAGGACGATAGAGTGACTTTCGCGACGTAGGAGATTTTTTGCCGACGCTGTTTCGCGGTCTCGATGTCTTTTCCTTTTAAATATAATTAGGATGATGAATAATACCACTGGCGCAGTGTGCCATGCGTGTCTCCTTTGTACACCATATTAGTCGCACGTGTTCTAAATCCTAGCAATGTTTTTCGCTTCGTAAGAAGATAAAACACTCACTGAAATTTCCATTTAAGTTGAATTGATCAATTTTTTGTTTTCCAGGTATTGTCTAATGTAAGGAATAAAAAGAAACGTCATTGGCATGTCAAACAATCAGTTAGTTGATTCTTGTCTGTAAGTATTATTTGTTTTTGTTTTTTCTTTGAGTATGCAACTTTTACTGGTCGATTTTATATCCATTATTTTTCATTAAAAACTACTCACCAATTTAACTCTCTTCTCATGCACATTTGATTTTTTTTTCATCCAAACTTGCCATATATACTGTGCCTCGAAATTTCACTACTAATTACCAAACTATTTGATGCGCGTTGTTAATAAATTTCTAATCGAAATTTTTGGTGGATGACCACTGCCATGTAAAATTAACGCAATTTTTTGGGCAATCAAGTGTCATACTAACTGAGCTTGTTTCGCGGTGCTGGGCTTAATTTAACATTTAATAATGGTACTGCATTAAATCACATTGGAATTAGGCTGGTGAATCGGCGGATCGAGCAGAGGCAGGAGCACAACATAACTCGTACTGAAATCACTCAAAGGTGACTAACCTGCATTAATCATCAGTTCTTCATTGCTAGAGCATGCTTAACATTTTTCCATTTTCGAACTCTTTGCAAGCCTATCATACACACTGCATAATTAATAGTAATTGTAAACCCATTGATTTTTTTAATTGCTATTTAAAATCAATATTAAAACACAGATATTTAAATAATTCATGAGAATTACTTATTCGTGTTGTTTTCATTAAAGGCGTGTTCTTCAAGAAAAGGGTCCAGAAATGCCTCAATACACGTAAGTACCGTTAAATTTTTTGTTTGTTAACAAATTAACAATTTTTTATTGTATTTTTATGGTTACCGTAAAAAGATATAATAATAATAATAATAAATGTTATTAATGATTTCAGGGGACAAGGCGAAAGCGATTACCATGGGAGCAATGGTCAAGCAGACACACATTCTTTACATTCCTCTCATTTGTCAGTTCAAGACGACCCTTTACTCATACGAACGCATAAGCAGCAAACATCTCAACAAGTACGTGTATTTGAAGTTTTTGGTATACTTTTCATATACTGTTCAATAGGCTGGCAGTAAAAAAAAAAATTATTTATTTGTTCTAACATTAAAAAACAATGTATTTATAACATTACAGGTAACGACAGTGACGAAAGTCGTTCGAGAAGTTTCACACATGGAGCCTGATCCAGGAGCTGTGAATTACGTGTCAATGCCACTTATGTCACAGGATTATCAGCATCCAGACCCGCGCTATGCAGCAGACCCGTACATGGTCAACTTTGACCACTACGACCACTACATGGGCTATCCACCGCAGCCTGGATATCCGGGTCCGCACGGTATCTACATGCCTCGTCCACACTCTCCTTACAGTCCTCACAGTCCCTCTGAACGTAGTCGCGCTTCTCCGCCTCATGGTATGTCTCCCAGAGTTTTGTTTTTCTTTAAGTTGAATTTTACTTTTAAGTACTCCTCCATTATATTATTTTGGTTTTTTCATTATTTTTCATTAGTCCTGTTGTTTTGTGCCTTAAATTTTTTGGTTAATCAACTGGTTTTTTTTTTTTCTGGGAGTTAATTATTTTTTCATGCTACCATATTTTACTTTGTTTTAATTTGCAATGGAATTCCTTCAGTCATGCATATCTACATGCCATCAATGCTATCACATTAGTGAAAATAGTCTCATGGGCAGTACACTTAAAAAACATACAATCATTTTAGATATCATATAGATTTCAAACTTTTCATCTTAATTGTCAAACGCTAGATTAAACTTGAATGTTTTGACATGTTAGTTGCTTGATTGGATAAATACAAATTTTATGTTATGGCTAAACCTTGCTGTTTCTTACGGTAGAAAGTACGTAAAGTACATAACAAAAATATAGATATTTTTGATAGATTTTAGCTTGAATTTTGTTGTTAAATGCTATCTAGTTAAAGTAAAAGCCAGTGAAACGTAGCTGATTCAGCTTTGAAGCAGAAACATGAATAAGTGAGTGAGTTTTATAACAAATGGGTTTGATCGGAGCATTACAAATTCAGGATGAAAAATAGAACATAAAGTAGAAAGGTTGGACGGATTCCGTAAACGTAGATTTGTGTGCTGTTATGAGAGCTCGTTATGTCGGTGCAGCAGTTCGATAGGATGGAGACGCTTCGCCGATCAGGGGTACAATGGTACATTATTTTCCGCTAGGACGTACTGCATAATAATAGAGATCCATTGCGTAGAATGATGCATAAGAAAACGACGGCCTGCGCTCCAGTATAGCTTGCAGAGCATTCATAGCGTGCTTTAATTATCGGGCTTAATGCTTATTACTTTTACAGATCAAATTAGCAACTCGTGGAACATGGACGATGCGGGAGAGCCGTCTCAGCACCCACACGGTGAGTATATATCCCCTGCTCTCGCGCGCGCAGCTCTTATAATACTTGTAGCTTTCGCACTTGTCGTTGCTGTTGTCTTAGGCTTTATTGTTCTAGTTTTCTCTGTGCTTTTTTTTTCTTCATCCGTTTGATACCCTTCTTTGCTACATAATCATTCAAAGCATTTCTACTCTCGGGGGCCGTTTCACGTTACATTCGCAACACGATCAGCCATTCTTATCTCACAAATGTGACACCTAATATGTGTGGTTTGACCCATACCGCCAGTTTAAAAAAATAAAACTGATAAGTATGAGCTGTTGCTACATGTGGCGTGAAAGAGCGCCAATCGACTTGTCGCCAAAGACTTAGAGAGGAGGACAACTTCAGCTGAGCTTTCGTATCACGATGTGGGTTTGTGTTGTGACAGATGATGGCAAAGTGGCGTACGGCTTCGTGTCGCCGTCTCCATACGGGCCAGTGGGCTACGGGCCATCCGTGGGTGGCGTCGGTGGAGTTGGAGCACTTGGGGTGGCCGGTGGCGAGGTTCCAGGCTACGAGGACGGCGTCGTCGCCCACATGGCAGCTCTTGGGGGCGTCGGTGGCCCCGGCGGGCCACTCTACGAGGACGAAGTGCAGCAGCTGCAACAGCGCCTCCAAGCGCGTCACGGCCTCGTCCCGGGCATGGTCAGTCCACTCGACGATGAACACAAGTCGATGCGCTGGCGCGACCCCAATCTGTCCGAGGTGATCGGCTTTCTCAGCAACCCCAGCAACGTCATCAAGGCGAACGCCGCAGCCTACCTGCAGCACCTCTGCTACATGGACGATCCAAATAAGCAGAAAACGCGCAGTCTTGGTGGCATTCCGCCCCTCGTTCAGCTACTTGACTCTGAAAGCCCAGACGTGTACCGAAACGCCTGCGGCGCTCTGCGCAATCTCTCCTACGGTCGCCAGAACGACGAGAACAAGCGCGCCATCAAGAATGCCGGGGGTGTGCCTGCCCTTATTAACTTATTGCGCAGGACCTCGGATGCGGACGTCAAGGAGCTGGTTACTGGCGTCCTTTGGAATCTCTCCTCTTGCGAGGTTGGTGCTGATAATCCATTCCGCTTGTGCATGATACTGATTTTTTCATTGTTATGTTTGTTTACGTAACAACACATTCGCTTGTTATCTGCCGTAGGATCTCAAAAAGTCCATCATCGACGATGGCGTAACGATGGTGGTAAACAACATAATAATACCGCACAGCGGGTGGGAGCCGAGCTCGGCAAGTGGCGAGACTTGCTGGTCGACAGTTTTTCGCAATGCCTCGGGCGTCTTGCGGAACGTCTCGAGTGCTGGCGAGTACGCGCGAAAGAAACTGCGCGAGTGCGAAGGCCTCGTGGATGCCCTGCTGTACGTTGTGCGCTCGGCCATTGAGAAATCCAATATTGGCAATAAAATCGTCGAAAACTGCGTTTGCATACTAAGGAATCTCAGCTATCGTTGCCAGGAAGTCGAGGATCCCAACTACGATCGACACCCTATTCAATCTGGCGTTCAGAACAGGGTGGCAGCGCCAACTAAAGGTGAGTCTCTATTTCCATCTTTTTTTTCAATCGATCCTCATAGCAGATATATCTTCCGAGGTGCATATATGTCTAATTTCTTCAGTCGTTTCCTCTTTGTCCCCTTGCATACTCTTTTTACACATCTTTTAAAAACTTTTTGTAGACATCACACTTATTTCAGTTAGTTTACATAAAGTACTACGAAATTTAGAATGAGTCGGATCTTCGTAATTTCAATTAGATAGATACTTTTTGACAACCTTTTGTAAATTAGACAATAGCTTTTGAACGTGCAATTAAACGATGTTAGTATAGATTAAATTCTGTTTCAATTTTTTTTAGCATACAGTCTATGTCAAGGTAAGACATTACACGCACTTAAGAAAATGAATTCCATTCAACAAAGCATGAATTTTCTTGCTCCCTTTCATTTGTATTTATATTGATAGATATTACTTTTAATTAGATACGGCTTATTGTATACTTGTGGTACTTTTACTTTTATTCATAGTACTAGAAAGTAAAAATTGTTTTAGTAATTTTTAAACAGTTTGCTCACAATGTACTTTTAAAATGTTAGATATTGCATGTACCCTACATGACTATCTCAAAACTAAAATCGCAGTTAACCATGTACATACTATTTTTACTATTACTTGAGTCTTCAAATAAAATTGCTTCAAACTAGCGAGGTAATTCATTTAAATTTGAGAAATAATTTAAAGTTTGAGCTGCTTTAATAAAATTCGTCCATGTTCTGTTAAATAAAGGATTTTATCTGTAATTCATGTATTATTACATGTAGAAATATGTTACTTCATAAATTGTTCCCTCTTTTAATTGATTCGCTAGTGAATACGTTTTTCAAACAACTCGCTAGAAATGTTATTACGCAATTTTTTATTTCCCATTGTCGAAGATCCATTGACTTAAGAAACATTTTTACAAATGACAGTCCTGAATGGTTTTACCCTAGGCGAAAATTTGGGATGCTTCGGCGGTAGTAAAAAGAAGAAAGATGGCCAATCTGTACAAAAGGAAACCGGAAGTATGACCAGGACAACGAGTCCTCGAACAGAACCTGTCAAGGGAATGGAATTATTGTGGCAGCCAGAGGTCGTTCAATTGTACTTAAGCCTTTTGCACAACTGCTCGAACCCAGAAACCCTCGAAGCTGCAGCAGGAGCCTTGCAAAATCTAGCGGCCTGCTACTGGCAGCCGAGCATTGAAATTCGAGCTGCCGTGAGAAAAGAAAAGGGACTTCCCATCTTAGTCGAACTTTTGAGAATGGAGGTCAGTTCAAAGTAACCAATTTGTGCATTCAATTTCATGCATCACAAATATAATAATGATCTTTCAACTTACAGGTGGACAGAGTCGTGTGTGCAGTAGCTACAGCTCTTCGAAATTTAGCCATAGACCAGCGCAACAAGGAACTCATAGGAAAATATGCGATGAGAGATCTGATTCAAAAGTTGCCGTCGGGTAATAATCAGCACGATCAAGGAACGAGTGACGACACGATCGCAGCTGTTCTAGCAACTTTGAATGAGGTGATCAAGAAAAATGCCGAATTTTCGCGTTCCCTTCTGGACGCTGGTGGTGTTGAGAGGCTCATGAACATTACCAGACAGCGTCAGAAGTACACACCGAGGGTCCTTAAATTTGCAGGTAATTATCCATCAAACTAGATCCTCTTGTGAGCAAATGTAACGGATAAACGTTCAATACCCTGCTTTTTTAGGTCAAGTCTTATTCACAATGTGGCAGCACCAAGAGTTGCGTGACGTTTATAAAAAGCATGGCTGGAAAGAACAAGATTTTGTAACTAAAACAGTGGCAGCTAGGAACTCTGGCCCCAATTCACCAAATAATGCAAACAGGTATTTTTCCTTCTGTGATTCGTTATTTTATACAATAGTGATTTAACGAGTTAAATTCAGAAATGATCATTTATCTTTAAAAAAAATAGCTTTACTTAGTTTTCTTACGTTTATTTCTTTTTATTTTCCTTGGGACTCTACTTTCTTGTTTGGTTGGTTTGTTTTTTTTATTATATTATTTGTACGATAATTTGTAGAGTCCCGTTACAATATCGGACAATTCGATGCTATGTTCAAAGTAGTTATGATTGCAGCACACTAAACCGGCCAATGGCGAGTCAAGGTAGTACGCGATACGAGGACAGGACGATTCAAAGAGGCGGCACTCTCAACTCTAACAACGTCGGACGAGCCAACATATATCAATCGGTAAGTCAATGAACAAATTTAAGGAGAAACAAGCAAATAACGGAATGATATGACATGACGACATTTTTCATGAATAATGGCTCTGTCGATTGCTTTTTATTTAGTAAAAGAAAAGAAAAAAAAATCTCGAAAAGCTCAAGATCTCTTGTGAACTGGATTTACATTAACTCGCCTAACCATAAAGTTTTAACTGTTAAACGTACACGCATCATTGATATAACAATTATGGCACATTATACTGATTTTCTTTAAATGCTTACATACATTTCCGCATTATATACGTCGATTTGTAAGACAGAAGCAAAACTCTTACGAATTAACGAGACAACTATAGAAATTAATTTGAAATAGTTTGATAAAAAAGTATATAAATCCGAAAAAAAATTAACATATATTTCTCGCGTTTGGTTCCATGAAAATAGAAAAGCTACGTTAGCTCGACCTTCAGTCTGTGAATTAAAAAACGTGCGCGTCCAATGAACTAACGAGCATACTTGATGCCACGAAAATGTGTCCCATTTGCAGTGATTTGTTATACATTAGTACAAACCAACACGGATATATTCGTTGCACCAATTGCTTTGAAAATTTTGTGAAAAAGAGTTGTTAACGTGTGGGAGTATTACTTCTCGATCACATTCCGGGATACTAAGCTTTGTACACAAAAAAGTAATACTACTAGTAATTTTCGTGTCGTTGGTATTGATACGCGTGTAAATTCATTACGATAGTATGGTACAAACCGACATAAACCAGTTGTAATGACTAATTGTGTTCGACAGCAAAACGAGGAGATCGCTATGTCGGATATGCCGTATCCAAAACAAGGAAGTCACGCAGTACCTGCTGGGGGCGTATGCGTGTTTCCTACAAATCCAGTAAGTCATTAGACTGTAAAAAAAAAAAAAAAAAAGAAAAAAAAAAAATGTGGAGCCCCGGTAGTTGAATTAAATTCACGTGAAATGAACAATGATTAATCATGCGCATAATTTCGAACCTTTTTGTTACATACAAGAAAAAAAAATTTAACTTCTGAATATCTACAATAATACAGTATTATTTACACTGTTTTTGAAACTTTACAGAATTTTTATAACACGATTTTTAGTTTTATGTAATACTATTATTCGTTTTTTAAGACCTTGACCTTGATATTGTTGAATAACTCACTTTTTTCATTTGTACTGCGAAAGTATAGATTTCTACACCATGAATTGTAATACTCAGTTGTACGTATGCATACACAAAATATCAAGGTGAGTTTAAACATATGAATATTGATATATCATGCATGGCATGAAAAAGTGTCATAGATACATTACTTTGATAATTTTACATAATGAAATTTCATGCACAGTAAACGAAAAGAAAAAAAAACAATAAAAGAAATGGATCACACAACATACTAAAACTAATGTAACATGAACAGTGTATAAACTAAGTCAATTAAAGTATTCTCCTGTAACTTTATTATGTTTACTTAACTTTGAGCTTGAGATAAAAAATTTATCTAAATTTGTACAGCCAAGTTTTTTTTATGTTATTTTCACAACTGTTATTCTTCTAATGCTGAAGCACTAAAGACAAAACTAACATTACTTTGTAAATAAAACGAATTGATCTTTAAAGATTCCAAATTTTCAAGAAGCATTGCTCACAATTTTCTATTAAACAATATCATCAATCACGTGATATTACGTATCATTACGTAGAACATACGTATGTTACGATTTAAAATTTGCGACACAGTCTTGCATGTTGGCTATTTTTCAAAAAGTTCTCATTATTAAAATGAATACGTGTAATGGTCAAAATTACTAATTTCAAAGGGCTTTTGCTCTGTCACACTATAGTGGAATGGCAATTACAAAATGGCTACGAACAAAAAAATTACTCTTGAAATTTTTGTAACTTACAAAAGTACATTCCCGTGAGTAGTGAAGATAAAATGATCTCGTAATTAATGATTTTTATAAAATTCACATAGAATAATAGTATTGATAATCTTTCATAAATATTTGACTACGACACGTGAATGTGATGTATCGTAAATAGCCATGTTAAGTAACGTTCAGTTCATGTTTTAATGATAATTTGACAAAAAGCAAGCCCGAAGTTTGTACTCATTGAACGCATTATATAAGGTATGTTCCTTGTAAACATATAACTTCAGTAATGATAAACGAAAAAGAAGGTGTAGGTGTAATGCGAAAATTCATTTAGGAAATATAATTTATGACACTTTGAGTATATGATTTCATTGTACATTCACAAAGGATCTAGTGTTGAGTAAATAAAGATAAAATTATTATCCAATATACAAACGTTTTGTTACTCTAAAAAATTTCACTATGCTTATTTTCTACTTTGATGATCATTATTATTTTAATTTTTTTACACGATATCAGGCGACAAAAATTGCTTTGTATGCTTGTGTGTGATGGGATTGAGCGCAAATATTTATATTATGGTCAGGCGAGTTGAGCTACTATACTAACAATATTCAAAGAGCCGAAAAAAAATGCCCTAGACCCACCCCCGCTATCTCGACAGTAAAAAAAAAGTCAACAAGTTAATCTTCGTACACATACCTAGTAAGAAAAAAGTCGTCGACGTAGAGCACAAAAAAGAGATTTGCTTGTCACTTGAAAGAAAAATAAAAAAAAAAAAACGAGTGAGAAGAGAAAAAAAAAACCGCACGTTAGGTATTATACAACTAAAAAAATGGTCAATGGGAACGATGATGCCGATATCACAGTAGCCGAAGCGCTGATGGAGTCTCTCAATGCCAACTTCTCATTTCAGCATGCGATTAAATCCATCCCTATATTCGATGGGAAAAATATTCCACTGAAGGATTATATACAAGATGNAAAAAAAAAAAATGAAAAAAATGAAAAAGAAAAAGAAAGAAAAGTTGTTGACTAGTGTGTATATGTGTGTGTTGCAGCAGCCGAAACCCGGTGAGCCGCTCTACGCGCAAGTTAACTTGATGGAGAAGAAAAAGAAGCGTCAGTTCGAGCTGGGGGTGGGCCAGGGCGCGGGTCAGGGTGCCGGTGGCGCGGCCCCGGGCGTCGGGCAGGCCGCTGGTGCCCAGTGGCTCGGCGATGGCCAAGCCGGCCAGGAGCCTACAGCAGCTTCGACTCTCAGTGTCCCTCCAAGTTCGACGGCCGTCTCCGCCGGCGACTCATGGGTCTAACGTGGGGCTGGTTAAAAGAGTGTCGTACGAAATCGAGAGCCCCCGTTCGTGTTACTCGAATAGCGCGTGCGAACCAATCGACTGAACGCTACGGTCTTAGCTCGCCATCTACTGTTTTGCCCCATCTTCATTGATTCTTTTTTCCACCTCGTTTGTAATATCCTTCGAATGTTTTTTTTTTTTTTTTTTTTTTCACTTATCTTGTGCGTCGATCGACCAGCGGCTGGTTTACAGTCGATTTGCCGTTTCATCAGTCCGCCTCACTTTTTTTTTTTTTTTTTTTTTTTGTCTCCACAGACATTTTTTTTTTCCTCTTTGTCATTGAACTTACATTCAAGGGAGATTAGATAGCTTTTGAGTGATGGGTGAGATGGAAATTCGGGAATTTTTTCAATTACTTTGTAAATTTAATTTTAAAAAGTGGTGGAACTTTCATGTGCTGTTAATACCAGTGTACCATGTGTATCGATACACTAATATATTGTAAAAGTTATTGGGTTACAAGAAATTTATAGTTAGCGAGTGGAGAGACACAGGAAAATTCAATTACTTTTCAATACCAAAGTAGTTGAGATGAAAATCCACAAAAAAAGTGCAGCGAAACTTCGAATGGCAAATACCATTCGTGTAGCTACGGTATATGTCGAAGGATACGATTAAAAAGAAAAAGAATCATTTTGAAATGCAAATACAAAGATTTATTATGCGCACGAACATTATAATATTAGATGGATTATCGCGTTGAGATTGATGCATCTCTTTTGCAAAAGAAAATTAGAATATTTATATATAATATACATGAATACGAACTCGTAGCAAGTAAGTGGTTGCGATATGCGAACGAGTGACTCATACAGCATCAACATTATCATCATCATTATTATTATTATTATTATTATTATTATTATTATTTAGAATAATTATTGCTAGTTTTTTATTTTTCATTATTGATGTGTTATGCGACGACGTGAATGAAATTTCGAGGCTGTGGGTGTGGTAGATGATAAGTTCGCAAGGACCCTAATCATTGATGACAGTAAACGTGTGATTTCTTAATGTTTTGCTATATTTTGTACACTACGCATCATCGATCGATCCATTTTTCGTACGATTAAACAGAGACTTTTGAATACATTTTTTAAAATTTTTTTTTATTTTTTTTTTTTTATGAATATTTCGACGGTCTCCGAAGCATCGCGGAATCACGTTACGTTTAGACAAAGTTGTTTAAATGGGGCACATTTTTTACGATTTGCCTTTTATCATTAGCTTTTAATATAAATCGTAATACAATGTTATGCATTAAAATGTGTATATCGAAGTGACTGATAAACTTTAATGATTAAAAAAAAAACGAATAGTAATATTAAGTATTTAACATTATCGGGTCGATCACACATATTTGTATATTTATTATACAAGTCGATGGAAATCCGATATTCATAAATTTTATTATATCTTGTTCTGTTTTTCTCACATGATTAATAAATAGTTGATGATTATTTATTAATTAATCTATTATTAATTAATAGATTATTATTTATATCAACTCGAGAAGAAAAGAGATGCATCGAAAGTGCATAATTGTAGCTATATACATACACACATATACATATATATATATATATATATTTATATCACATAGCTGCATTTACCGTTCAATGCAGTGCCGTCGAAATTATTTTTAACTTTGAAAATTTTTTATTTTCATTGTACAATTATATAGTATTGAGCGGAAAAATTTTGTTGAAAAAGATAAACTTATGTAAATCTTAGAAAATTCGTAAATTCTTGAAAATTATTATTGTATTATTATAAATATTTTTAAGTTGATTGTTGATATTATATGTTCAAACTCGAGTTTATCGATGTGACAAAAGCGTCAGACGCCAATGTCACTTAAAAGTTTTACACCAGATTTTTTACTCAGGACGACACAGTGTCGAGTTTTTTGGCGGGAAAATTCACAAATGTAAGGTCACAACTATATTAAAGTACGGCATAATTGTGTAAGATTACCGAAAGTGTATTGTATAAATGCATCGATTTTTTTTTAAAGATCAAAGTTCGACGTTGTCACGACCTAATTTTCAATAAAATTTTTACTGCATTTGAAACAGGAAATAATAAAAAAAAAAAAAAAACCAACATTTTTTACTTCATGTGATAATCTCTAACAGTTTATTTATCATTATACTTTTTATTAAATCTATGATTGTATAAAGTAATTTATAAAATGTTTACGTGACTGATAAAAATCACAAATCGAGTAACAAAAATTCCATAACGTCAGTATATGAAAATAATCAGACCAGGTAATGACTGATATACTTAGGTATCATCACCGATTTTTATAAAAGCTTCTCATCCTTTTGTAATTTCTAAACTAAGTTCGTAATTTTCTACCAAAAGACTGCTTGACCTTATATATAATATACAACCGTAGACTACAGCATAAAAGATACATAAGTTGAGTATTAGAATAAAAAAAAAATCAAGTACTGCGAATGTCAGAAAAGTGTAATTAAGCCGATGGAACATGAAGAAAAATAAAACTCTGAGAATTAATAATAGATAATTGAAAAATCTCTTGTGTTGTTAATAAATATATGTCATGTGTTTTATCAAAACAAAAAAAATCCCCATCTATGTAATTGAATGTATGAAAAACACATGTCAAAATCCATCATCCTCATTATCATAATCGCCCTTATTTTTTACTTTACTTACATTTTCATATTTTCATCACGTCTATTTGGTATACAATAAATTACAAAAAATGTTTATAACATTTTATGTATTGACAAACATACATATACTATACATGTATACTATGTACCATTATTCTCACGATTATTAAAGTAACGTCAAATCTACGATGGTAAGTATGAATGTATTCTAGTAGGAAGCATTGACTAAATATAAAACCCAAACCACCACATCGAGTCACTTTGCGTTCATGTAAATTTTGCACGAAAACGAAAAAAAAAAAAAAAAAAGTACATTTTACATGTTACTTAAACACAAAAAAGAAATTTTGCATTTACTTCATACCATTGTACGTGCATGGACGAGCGCATACACGAACTTTTATTTGACATTCAGGTATAAGATGGTAGTGCGATATTTGACGCAATAGTCACTCGACAAAAACACTGCACATTACGTCGTGTAAAATCGAGATGGAAAATGAATGGAGAAGGAGGAGAGCAGGTGCGAACACAATTAACCAAATTCGAGGGAGAAAAAGGGAGAATTGGGTCGCCGTGCTGTGCAGTACATTGTCAATTTGCGCCTGCGGAATCAATCAACGACTCTGGTACATACGTGTGCGCGTCCTTTCCAACCCAGCGAAAATTGCACACACGATACGAGGGAAGTAACAGTACGGTGCAAATCAAATCGACGCGGGGACAATGAAACATTGCCCTGAAATTGCCATTTTCTTATTTTCCACGCACATTTGAGACCATCTCCCCCCCGTTAAAGAGACAACCCGATGCCGACGAAACAATCGCGGTGAAAAATAAAAAATCTCCCAGATCGGCGATTAAGACGCGAGGAAGCGTAAAATTGGTACACGCGCGACCGAGCACCGGCCAGCTGCGCACCGGGAGATAAGAGAGTATAAGACGACAAGGGGCTCGAAAAGGACCACGAGCTCGTGCAGTCCAACTCCGTCCCCCGCGGCATGACGCCGGAGCCCGAGAGCGCGCGCACCAACAAGTCGGCCGAGCAGCTTAGGTCCGAGGTGCGCCGATGCCTCGGCCGTGCCAAGGGCCTGCCGCTACTCTGGCGGCTACGGGCCCTCGCGCTCTTCGGCCTCGCTTACCTCAAACTGGGACCCCCCGGTCGCCGGAAGCCCCCGAAATCCCTACTCGCCGGTGTTCTCCTCGTCACCGCCGCCCTCGCCGTCTCACCCGCGGTTTGGAACCGGCTGCGCTTCGACCGCGTGAGTTACACATGCACATATACTTAATTCCTTGCTTTTTTTTTTTTTTTCCAATGGATTTTATTCCCAAAGTGCCTGATCGAGCAGCCCAGTATGGCTCGCCAGCTCTTCCGGCCGGCCGAGGACTGCTCCGTCTGCGAGGGAGTGCGCCGCATCGAGAAGCTGTCCAGCGTCGATCCCTGGCTGTTCGAGGAACGGTGCGTATACATCACATGATGGGTATCGTCGGCGATAACGGGCCGATTATGTGTGACACAGGTACGCGTACTCGGGGAGGCCCGTCGTGGTGAGCGACGCCACGGCCAACTGGACGGCCGCGGGTGCGTTCTCCTTCGACTTCCTTAGGGAGCTGTACCGGGGGGGCCGGGCCGCCGAGTGCCAGTTCTTCCCGTACAGGACGGGCTTCCGGAGTTTGGAGGACTTTTTCAACATGAGCGCGAGCAGGGCGCTCCTGCGGACAGGCAGCGAGCCCTGGTACGTCGGCTGGTTAGTTGGCGCCTTTTTTCTGTTTCTTTCTTTGTTTGTTTGTTTTTTAATCGTTGTGGTGTCTTTGGAAATCACGGTTTGGCTTTTGCTTCGAGGAGTAACTGCGACGAGGCGATCGGCGACGTTTTGCGGCGGCACTACGACCGGCCGTACTTTCTGCCGGCGACCGCGGAGACCGAGAAGACCGACTGGATATTCATGGGCAGTCCGGGTTACGGTGCGCCGATGCACGTGGGTATAATAATTTTAAATACGCTTTTCATGAGCTTGAGTGTGATTATTGTGGTACGCGTGTGTGTGCAGGTAGACGACGTCGAGTACCCGTCGTGGCAGGCCCAAATACGGGGACGCAAAAAGTGGATCCTGGAGCCGCCTCGGGAGTGCCACTACAGCTGCGATCGGTTGGAAGTTGTCGTGGAACCTGGTGAGATCAGTGAGTGTTTTCGTTCATACGCAAAGATAAACATCATTATTTGTTGTACAATACGTATACTCACGCGCGAATCGTTGACGCCAGTTGTTTTAGACACCAACAAGTGGTATCACCAAACCCTCATCGTTTCCGAGGATGTGAGCATCACCATTGGCGCCGAGTACGACTGATCCAACGTTGTAAATATCATGTGCTACATTTATACACATATTATATTGTTGTTGTTGTTGTTGCTGTTGTTGTTCTCGTGTGGATCAATGTCACATATATATTTCCCGTTGAAAAATTAAATGTTCCGATGATGTGCAATGTAAAATAAAAACTGATCGCAAGTGAATGATGACTAATTAAATAATGATACAGTACCTATATATATCGTATCGGTTCAAAGTGTCGAATAATATATCGATGAACTTTTCAAAAAAGTATCAGACAGGCCCAGCGGGTAGTCTCCGTGTCATCGAGACTATGCGCGCGTCTCAAAGAAATAAAAAGACAGAGGAGATAAAAAGAGGGAAGAGCTTCGAGGGCGAGATGTTGTTGAACCCATTTGCGTGTGCGTAGGTTGGGGTACATAATGAAAAATATGGTCATCGAGGAACAGCAACCGTACATATATAGGTAAGTGTAAGCGGTTGGCCAGATGGCACGAGTCACGCTGCATGCAGCAGCCAGGCAAACGTGCGTGCACATGTATATACATATACATATGCACCTGGCGGCAGGTGAGAGGTGGCGGTATACATATATATAACCATTGTATTAGTCCGTATGGGGGCCACTGACGTCTCATCGCACACGTCGCGCGCGTTTTTACCCCCTCGATTCTTCGTTCCTTCATGCCCTTCCCGTACAGTTACGTTGCAAGTCTCTTTTAAAATCTACCCTCTCTCTCTCTCTCTCTCTGTGTGCTTATAATATGTACTCGCATCAGCTGGGCCAGACGATCATTTTTTTTTTCCTTCCTTCCTTCCTGGAGCACCATTGTGTCGTCGTTTCTTAAGTATATTAAGCATCTCAAATGAAATTTGTCGTAATCCTCGCTTCGTTTTGTGCTTTTCCCTTTTCACAGACACTTATTTATGTATTTCCTTTCATACAATAATCATCATTACATAGCGATTGTACGTGGTAAAGTCTTCATTTTTAATCTTTGGAAACGCGAAGTTTTTTATTTTTTTAATTTTATTGCAGGGAAAAACAACGCCAGAACTTCAAATAAGTGATATCTCAGACGAGCGAAAAAGTCTTTTTGCCAGAGTGGATGTATTTATATAGTCAGAGAAATATGTATGAGCATTTACACTTACGTAGGTACCTACAGCATTGGCATTTAAACGTGCATCAGCGTAGTGCAAATGTTAAGCTAACGCATAATACAAATTTGTAAATGTGTGTGTTATGCGGCTCGAGTAGGGGAAGAAGAAACAGTAGCTTTGGTGGGGTAGCGATGTCAGAGCTGGAGGGGTAGTAGGGCACAGACGCACAAGGGAGGAGGGGGGGGGGCGAGAGCCATATCGGTCGGTGTTATCGATTTTTCGAGGCGTTCACTTTTCGCGCATATTTCTCTGTATACCTGTACACACGCATCTTACGGAGCTACATAAAGGCAAAGTCAAGCAACACATTTAAGTACATTATGTATTTATATATATATACATACATAATACCCACTTACACAGACACGCGTGCTTGGCCATACAAGGGGTGATGATAAGCTGGCCTTTTAAATAACAAACTCACACTGCGCCCCCCTCACTTTAAGTATATACACATTTACACATAAGTGACAGCGCAGAGCACCAATGTGCATGTATAAATGGGTATTCGATTTTTTTTTTTTTTCTATTGATTTGTACCTCGTTTTCATCACCCAATCGCTTACATGCGTGTAGATCGGTAGAATATATCTCTTCGTACATACCCTTTTTTTAGTTGAAATTAAATTAACATAAAATCCTGTACGTTAGTTGTAAATTATCTCATATTGCGGTTGGCATATCGTTGTTGCGGCATAAAACAGCCAAAAGTGAAAAGCGTTAAAGGTACATTTATTTGTCATGTATTGCAGAAGGGGGGGGGGGGCGGCGGGAAAGTCGCAAGTATGGTGCAGCTTGAAAAAATAATCGTAAAAGCTCATCGACCAAGAGATCGCAGCTGCAAGTTGTACGTGGTTAAACAGCTTCGAAGATGTTAAATAGTACGAGGTTAAACACCCGTAGACGTAGACGGTAGGGCCAGCTGCTGCTCAAACAATATTACTTACCTTATACTTGTAAGTCTCCTTCCGTAATATGGAATACAATGTAATATAACACAATGTGTGTATACATTATATGTACATGTATAATATACCTATATGTGTATAAACGAGGGTGAAGTAAACTTAAAAGGTATACCTTCGAGTGTAGTGTGTGTGCGTTCGTGTGTTCCTTTCCCCCTCGTCGTCGTCGTCGTCGTCAGCAGCAAGCCCCTCTCTCTACCTATACTCTCTGCAGAACACCCCAGCCAGCCGCAGCCAAGTTTTGCATCAGCGAAGTCGGTATGTGCATATATAGGTATAAAAAACCCGCAAGGGTGGTAGGTATCGAGTCCGTTAGAGATCCCTCGAGTCAGAGATCGCCGCCCCTCGAAGTTCCGTCTGCCCTCCCTCTTTCCGTCCCACTGTTTGTCTTACGCAAGCGTCGCCCGTGTGTGTGTCCCTCGTTTGTGCGCGCGCGCGCGTTGCTTCCAACCCCCCCCCCCCCAGTCCCGATGTACTTATGTGTATAAAACACCACCACGGTAACTCTCCAACTTCAACAGGGCCGAACAGCCCGAAACCCAGTGCCCCGTCCCTACAGGTACATGCGATTGCACAGTGCAGGGACCGACTCTCGCGGATCTCTGGAAAATTCACTTGTACACCTTCGGTTGATATGTCGTTCGGCCTCTACGCTTCGTTATTGATTGGTTATGTTATACTCCCCTCTCCCGAGTTTCGGTATAGAGCCGCGTTCGAACAGCGATCCAGCCACCCCGAAGTTGATGCTTTTGCGATGAAGATGGAAGGTGATCGTTTGGCGAATTTTTCGCGGTAATAACTGCAGTTGCAAGTGAAGTATGGGATCGGATCTACATGTGTGTGTATTGATTTAGTAAATCGGGCGCTCATGATATGTACACAAACGAAATCGGTCGGTCTGCTCGACTCGCGGTAGGTACGTGAGTGTACAATCTGATTCAAAACTTTTGACGAAACAAAAACAAAAAAAAACAAAAAAATAAGAAATGTTTATACATATTGAGTTTTAGGCAGGCTATACACTCCGTCCCTGAGAGCAGACAACGCCAAAGAGGGAGAAAGCAAAGAAAAAAAAAAAAAAAACAAGTCCATGCCCACCGAGCAGGGGAGCTTCGCAGTTTGCGATCGTCGTCGTGGTCGTGCAGTATTCATTTACACCAACGAACCCACTTTTCTCGCCAAAAATTGTAACATGCCTATGGACGTCGTGCTCGAGAATCAGCCCAGCTCTTCAGTTTCCTGGCGCCGCTCGCAGCCTCCGCAAATATACCCATAAGGACCGACGCTTCAAAAGTCCAAATCCGCTAGTTACGCTCCTATATACGTGTGTAACGTACCCCCGCGAGCACAGCACCCCCCCACCAAGCTGCCACTGCAGAGGAAGGGGCCATCGTATAACACCCCTATTGATTTTCGTATCGACGCGCGCCTCGCGCGCTCTCCCCCTTGCCCCTCCGTCAAACTCGGTGGGGTGTGCTTCTGCTACGCTGCTGCCCTAAGCGATACTACACTGTTACTACTGCCATCCACTACCCGGTGGCTCTCGCGCTCTGCACGGCCAACCCCGAGGGATGAAGAGCTTTTGGCCTTCAGGCTCCTCGTCGAGTTCGATCGCGCTTCACGAAATCCCCGTCGTTGTCCGGTGCTCGCGGCCGATGACGATGACTCCTCGTGTAGTCTCCTTTCGGCTCTCGTTGTTGACGCACTCGCTATCGACTCTACGCAACGTTGCCGTGAACAGTTAATACAATATACATATACATATATATTTATATATAGTGCGCGCTTTTATCCCAATCGGCCAGGACCCGTACTAGTAAAGTGCAGGAGGGTTGTTTCGTTGTCAGTGGTGACTCGTGATCAACAATAACTCGACGCACGCAGCATTCGCGTCTCGAAATAAAATAAAATAATAAATAAAAAACAGTGCGTGTGTGACATAATAAATGTATGGGTGCACATAATAGACACCTGTAAGTGTTTAGCGACTATATATAAGTGAGTTTCGAGGAAAAAGGAAAAAAAGTGACAGAGCCGAGGGAGGATATACATGTGAAATAATAATTGAAAGAGGCAAAAAAAAAAAAAAAAAAAAAAACAAAAAAAAAAAAAAAAAAAGAGCGGATGCAGAGTATAAGCATGGGGGGCCGGGGCGCCCGGCCACCACGCGTCGCGTGCTAATGGACGAAGTCGCGGGGGACGCGTCCGGCTTCGGGGGGGCGGCGCCCGCGAATGACGCGTGCCCGGTCGCGCGCGCGCGTGGGAGTAACAACAATAACAATAGTAACAACAACAGTAGCGGCAGCGCCAGCAGTGCCGGAGCAGCGACGCTCGTGCCGTCGTCTACGTCGTCAACGTCGTTTCACCACCACCACCACAACCACAACCAGCAGCAGCTGCAAGAGCCGCCGCAGCTGCGCTCGACGTCCCAGCAGCGGCACCATCATCAGCCCTCAACCGGAGGAGGAGTCGGAGGAGGAGGAGGCAGTGGAGGAGCCGAGGCTATGTCCGGCTCCTCGGCCTCCGACAGCCCCGACATTGCGTGCGCGAGCCTCCCGCTGGAGCTCCTCGCTGCCGGTGGCGTTCCCATCAAGGAGGAACAAGACGCTCCCGACGAGGAACAGCCCCAACATCACCACCACCACCACCAACACCACCATCAGCAGCAGCAGCAGCACTATCACCACCACCACCTCCAGCAACAACAACCCCACCACCACCACCACCACCAGCAGCAGCAGCAGCAGCAGCACCAACACCACCATCACCAACAACAACAACAACACCTCCACCACCACCACCACCACCATCAGCAGCAGCAGCAGCTGCGCGAGCGTAGACTCACAGCGGCACAACTGCGCGGGCAGTCGGCGGCGGCGCAGCAGTCAGCAGCAGCGGCCTCGGTGATCGTGCCGGCCCACGACTGCAGCAACGAGGTGGTGCAACAACAACAGCAGCAGCAGCAGCAGCAGGACAGCTCTCGTGACGGACCCGAGGACGAACTGTCGCCAACCTCGGGTATAAGCATAACCGCCAGTATGATCGACGCCACGGATTTTCGGGCAATGGAGCCCACCTACCAGACCCTCACCTCCGTGGCCGAGCGCATGTCGCCCCCGGGCTTCAGTCCGGGCTCCAGCTACGCGACCCTCACGCCGCTACAGCCGCTGCCCCCCATCTCCACGATGAGCGACAAGTTCGTGTACGGGGCCCACGCGGCCGCCGCCGCAGCCGCCGCCGCCGCCGCCGCGGCTAACAACAACAACCCACCTGGCCCCGGGGGCACCAACAACTCGGCCACCGGTGGCCAACAACAACAACAACAACAACAACAAACAGGCGGTCCACAACAGCAGCAGCAGCAGCAGCAGCAGCAAGGTGGCGGTGGGGTCACGGGTAGCTTCGCCGTCATGCAAAACAACGGGTTGGCGAGCATAGGGTTGGCGGGCATGGCCGGCTCGCCGTACTCCTCGTACGACAAGCTACCCTCGATGGGTATGTCGCCACCGCACAACTACGCCTCCCCGACCGCCGGCCTCCAACCGTCGCCCCTCTCGCCCCAGAGCGCTTACAGCCAGAGCGCCCTCAACTCGCCCCACAAGTCCTCGGCGAGCCCGCACTACGAGCCGGCCGGCTTTCTACCCCGGCTACAGCAGCAGAGCCCCCAAGCCATGAGCCCGCCCTCGCCGCCCCTCAGCGGCGGTCAGGCCCAGAGCTTTGGCGCTGGTGCTGCTACTGCTGGTGGTGGGCATCATCACGCGCACTCGCCCACGGGGCTGTCGGGGCCCGCGTCGTCGCCCCCGCCGATGCACCAGCAGCCCCAGCACACGTCGGTGCTGATGAAGACGGTGTCGGCCGCGGCGGCGGCTGCTGCTGCCGCGGCTGTGGTCCAACAATCGGGTAACGGGCCCTCGGGGGGTGGTGGTGGCGGTGGGGGTGGTTCGGGGTCCGAGATAGAGGAGATCAACACCAAGGAGCTGGCGCAGCGGATAAGCGCCGAGCTGAAGCGGTACAGCATACCCCAGGCGATATTCGCCCAGAAGGTGCTCTGCCGTAGTCAGGGCACCCTGAGCGACTTACTGCGCAACCCGAAGCCGTGGTCGAAGCTCAAGAGCGGCCGCGAAACTTTCAGGCGCATGTGGAAGTGGCTACAGGAGCCGGAGTACCAGCGGATGGCGGCCCTCAGGCTGGCAGGTTAGTAGTCCTCGACTACTCCGGTTTTCTATATACCTACGTTCCGTCATGATCTTTCTCTATCTCTCTCTCTCTCTCTCTCTTCTCCTCGATAATCATCGTCTACACCACAATTGCTATACATATCTCATATTCCTCCATCAACCCGTTTTCCTCGCCATCGCCCTGGTATCCCTATTCTTGAGCACCTGATATGACTATTATATGTATCTTTTGTGCCATTTATGTGCCATTTTTTATAAATATCATTTGTCGAGTGCCCTGCTACGGGGCGCGCACATTATATGCAGATATCGATGGACTGGATTTTATACAATTATATATGTATATTATCGCATTGTCTATCGAATAACGAGTGCATTATTGTCAGTGGTAAATGATGAATAAGTTTTGGTCATTATAACACGGCCGCAAACAATGGTAATCCCATGTATTCGGGCGCGTATACTTAATTATTATAATTTTATACATAAAAGTGACAATTGTCGGTGCAGTTCAAGTATACACCCGTGCGCGCGAATTTATCATGCAAATAATTAAGTTTTACGCCAATTCACAAAAATCGCACTATTAAATTTGATGTCTTTTTGAACAAGTCATTTAATCATTTTCCGCTTGTGCATAACGCGTTTCGAGCTATAAATTCGTGTTGCATTCGTGTATAGTGTCGTTTTTGTGGCTTTTTGATGTTTTGTAGTCTTGTGTTACACTGATGGAAAAAAAAGCTTTGTATTTCATGATCGGCTGTCAATTGTGGATGAGCGCGTTGTCGTAATCAAGTTTCTCGGGCACAATATTATTCGAATGCGCGTAAAATTTACATTTATAAATTGACTTGAACAATCCTTTCATTTAAAAGCACCGCAACTTTCTATACGAATTTTCAAAAGTTTTAAAGCCTAGTAGATTTACAGATAACAACTGCATTCACGTAAACAAAGCATTTGTTCCGGGAAAAAATGAAAAATTCAACCAGTACGGCGATCTTCTACTTTCGTGTTTCAATTATTTGAAATATTTGGTATCAATAATCGTTTAAATGCCGTGGACAATCAATCAACATTTATACCTACAGAAACGTGCGAGTTAACCGGTTTGATATGAAACATCACCCATGAAGCACATACATAAAAGATTCTTTTTTTATTTTTCTATCAGTGCATAATCACCTCTTACTTGGCGATTCATTCACTCGTTGCTATATTATTATCATTATCTAGCAAACATATATCGCCCATAGCGTCCATCAAAAAACACAAGGATCCACATGTATATCTTTCCAAAGCTCGCAGGGCTATCGTTGGGCACCAGGATGAGCTTGCAGCAGATTCGTCAATTCGTCAAAACCGATCTTTCGCAACGAGAGAGAGAAAAAATACATATATGTATTAAGTATATATGTTCAAATCCATTGAATCATCAGCCAGCTGATGCTGCTGATACTGACCGTCAGTGTGCAGATGGGGGGGGGGGAGAGTTTGGCGTGTAGCGCACACACGTGCTCCCCACGTGGAGAGGCGTTCCCTTCCCTATCATTCACAGATAGAGGCGCGGAATAACACTTTTCGAATCCAACATCCTTTACCCCAGAGAGAGAGAGAGCGAGCGAGAGGGTAGAGGGTGTGTTATATATAGAGAGATGAAACGCACAGCGGTGCTCTCTCTCTCTCTTATATACATATACGCGTTACACATATAATGTGTACAGATATATGTATATATACACAAGCAGAGAGCGCGGGTTATTCGGTATTGATCGGTAACTATGATATGTATATATATTGTACAGCAATCGCTGCGCAGACGCGAAATGCCAGAGAGACAAAAATATACAGGTATATACGATAGAAGCCGCGGATATCGCGTATCACTCGCTGTACGTTCTCGGCTTGTGTGTGTGTGTGTGTGTGTGTGTGTGTGATGGCAACGGGCCATCCCCCGCGAAACCTTATCTATTTGCTCCTTTTTATACGTATAACTAACTGCCACTGCGTGCACGCCAGCTTTTATACATCCGACCGTATACGAACGTCGCTCTTATATATATATATATATATATATATATTTATATACCGATTCGACTGATCTGCACTTATATATTCGTCCTTTCCTAAATCCATGTGGGTGATGAGTGAAAAAAAAAAAAGAAATGCTGATGTATTTACCGAAATTAAATTAAGATATCGCAGTTTTTGTTTTTAATAATATATTATACATCGTATGATCGGTGTTTGAATCACAGATCGGCATTCAAATTATGATTATTCAAACGCGCGCTCAACTCGGCCGATTGTCCCAAAAGTAAAATACAAGGAAAACTCGAGCGAAACGGAAACTAAAATCGTTTTCGTTCGCGAGTTTTGAATCGAAACAAAGTCTATTGCGTTATATAGACCATCAGGAGAGTGCAGCTATATATGTGCACTGCATGTGTCTACACGTATACGAGGGGGAAAGAGAAAAAGTCAAAAGTAGAATGTATACAGAGGTGAGTGAGAGAGAGAGAGAGATAGAGGAAAAGGAAGTGCGTAGGGGGGCTCGCCTATATATCATACACAATATATACTCGGAGAAACAATGTATAAAAGTGAAGGGAAGCATTAGGGCTTCGCATCAGCTTCAGACCTAACAGAGCCCTTTAGACGTTCCATACATTATATATATAGGCACATATAGGTGTAGCGAGAGCTCTGCACCCATTGTCTCCGATGCATCGGTAATACCTATAGCTCCGCTTCGACTTTGCTCCTCTGCTGTTGCAGCTGCTTCCTCTCTCTCTCTCTCTCTGTATGGACCTACTACGCGCCAAGTTAGCTGACATTTCATTAGGTAGAGAAGATAATCTCGATAAAGTGTAATACACGCGGGCGCATGAATGAATGACAGTAATTATACCTACTCGGTGTCTCTGGGTGAAGATGTTGCGAACGACGGTACACACGACATGGGATACAAACTTTCGCGCGGGTATTTGGAATCCTTTGATTGATCAGCCGATTTCTCAACATATCATGTATTTTGCCAAGCAGATATATAATAATGTTAAATAAAAGCATTCGAGGAGGATACAGTGTGCCTACGCAGTGTCTGATGTTCGAGCTGCTGATGGAGGAGGTACACATCACGTCCTTATAATGCGCATTCGCGTTCGGGCCACACGCCAGTGAGCTCGTTCGCGCTCCCCTTTATACCCGGTTATAATGTATTAACAACTCCCCCGTACGTAACACATGCATATATATACATACATGTACAGAAGAAAGCCCGTATATACGCGAGTGGCTTCGTTTCCGCAAGCGCGTGTAGTACGGAGACGGGCCGATTTGTAATACCTGCCGCGCGCAACACGCATGTTATACCTATGTATACACACGCGTTCGACTGCTCCTCGTCTTTGTGTTTATTTCTGTAATCTAGTGACTTGAATGATAATAATAATAATAATAATAAAACATCTCAATTGCTCGTTTACATATTTCGTTCCTGTGCTCTCGTCGCATATAAATGATATAATAAAGCCGATGCATTGCTCAAACTGAAGAAAAAAAAAACTATATACCTATCAACGATGTTGGAATAACATGTTTAAATGTATTATATATTGGTGGTTATTCCACGTGTATGTGTTTATATGTAGGCACAACAAGTCCCGTCGGAAGAGCGCGAGGGTTGGCCATCAGAAACAAGTCGAGGCCGAAAGGAAACGAGCTGCAGGGGATTGCGTGGGGTGCCCGCGGATATTCGTCCATCTCTGTATTATCTACGCACACGCGTATACCTACGTGTGTATACTTTTATACACGGGGCCAGTGGAGCTTCGGCGGCAGGCGGACCAGGTGTGCGCGCGTATAATATCGTTGCGTACAGTGTTGATTTCAAGCTGTTGTTCGAGCACGTGCCGAAATACGAAACGCAGGGCTATATAATGTGCACCCAACTGCGGTGAGGGAGGCCTTACGCGTTCCCACCTCCTCCACACACCGCTCGGCCGTCTCGCTTTCCTCCCCCAACCCTCTTGTTTTTTTTTTTTTTTTTTATGTTGTACTTACTCGCTATACACGCATCGGCCACTTCCACGGGATATCCTGCCCCCCCCCCCAAACTTTCCTCCCGAATCCCTCATTATATCCTTTTCCTTGCAACGTTATCATTGCGCCATGAGCTCCTCCAATTTTCAGATGATATTTATACGTTTCGAACGGATTTACGATGTTTCGTTTGTGCATTATTCACTCCGAGTCTGTCTCTTCTACGATGTCTATGATGTACCCTCGAAACTGTAAGGATCCCACCAAGAATTTCATCTCTCGTCGTTTAATTATTCGTTCGATCGGTATCTCGCGAGGATGGATCGATCGAGCCGGATCAACTTGTGTGTGTACCTGGTGGGCGCAACATAAACATGTCCATCAAGTGTGTGGGGTGCGATAAAATCTAAGAAAACGCATGAAAGAGTTTGAACGTGTCAATTGATGAATTTTTTTTAATAACTCATAGCCCCGGTAATTCATTTGTCACCACGTATACCTAACGTACCTCTTCCAAGCTATATATACACGTATGCACAAAGAGAGTCGCTATTGTCGGACGATGATAATAATCGGCGTCGAATTAAACGTGCCCGAGAGATAGCCGATATAAGAGGGAAAGATGACACCGTCGCATGCCTACGTGTGTTGCATATATACTATATGCGTATAGGCGCAAAATATTGTTCTCGCGTTACGAGCGAAGCAACGACCTTAGCGCGGATATTCGGCTTTTCTTCGTTTCCAACGCCGAGCTCTTTATATTTATTTCATCGCTGTTGTTCGCTTTCGTCGTCTTGTAAATTAATTGCTGCGTGTGTATATATATATATATAGTGACGATGCAAAAACAACGCGGTGTATTTTATCAAACTTACAGCCAAATCGCTTTTATCATTTCCCCCCCCCCCCCTTCGTTCTCGTCCAACTTTTCTTCCGTACAGTTCCCATCCGATGGACGGTGGCGCGTAACGTCGTTTAATTACGAAAACTAACGTATAATTGCCATACGCTATGTATAGGTACCTACTATGCATATGATATACGTATACGTGTGCAATAACAGTTGTAGCGGTGATTATTATAACAACTACGGATATCGCCGCAAAAGTTTTCAGCGAAAATACCATCTCGAAAGTTGGGATAGTGGACCGTCGTGCGTGCAAGCTCTGCCCGTGTAAATACCACGCTAAAAGCATAGTTCCACGTTTTGGTCACTTTGCGGCTTTCCCCTTGTGCATACGGTCGCCGGCTGTATGTAGGAGCGTATACAGTCCTCTCTGCTCGAATGACCAATTCAATTGTCTTACATGCAATGCGTATCGAAGCGTCCACCAATCGTGTCTGAACTCTGTATTTTTTTTTTTTTTTTTTTGGCGCTGATGCTAGTTTTTGGTTGTTTCGATCGCCTGAGGACCGATTTTTAAGATTTTGGTGGTGCACTTGATGAACCATTGCTAGAGTGTTGGTATGGATGTTTTTTAAGCACGTACATGAGAGTTGACATCGCGTCTCTCTTCAGTACCCCATAGAATAATAATAATGTTTTAAAAAGTTACAAAACTAAGCGGATAGACAGACACATTGTTATATTATGCATTTTTTAAGATATAAATATTGGCCACGTCGAAAATCGTGACGTAATTTTTACTAGTTGCTAGCTTGTACGACACGTAAAAAATTAAAATTCATTGTTTCATTTCAGTCGCACATTTAATTATAATTTTCTTTCATTTAATGTTTTATTTTTTTATTTACACCTCTGTGTGCTTTCATATCATGTACTTTTTTATTTTCTTCATATGATTTCCCTATCCCTCTTTTTATCTAATCCTTTTCCCATCCAGTTTTTGTATGTTTTTAAAATTATTTTATAACACATTATAGATGCCACTGTAATTTTATGATTTTGTTTACCGTATACTGTTTGTTGCTTTGTTTTTATTTATTTTGATTTATTTGTTCTCCAAAAATTAAACCACCAACAAATAAGGAATACCAGCTCTAGTTGGCGCCCAAAATAGATAATGTACCAAGTCGCCGTGATTATAGTTTTCGTGTACTGAGATTTGCATTTCAGTTGCAGTGGTAGTTAAGCATCAACCAAAGTAGTTAGATAAATTAATCAAAATAAATCTAAAAAATTAAAATAAACTTTTTTATTTTTGTGCAAACAAAACATTTTTAATATTTACCCATGAAGCTATTTTACTGAATACTTGTAACAACTATAGTCAAAGTAATAAATACGTAGGTTGCGTCATCCATCTTTACGAGAAAGAACAATAATTGCATATCCAGGGAATATAACTAAAAACGTTAGTACATTGAAATGTATTTTTCCATACTTTTGAGGAGTTCTACGGATTGAAATAAAAGCCAACTAGACCTGGTCTTCCTTCATACGCCAAATTGTAAAAAAAAAAAATTTTTAAATTTAATGAAATGTAAAATCACAAAAAATGTCATATATATACCTATAAAATTATTGAGCAGCGCGAGACACGAAAAAGTAAAATGAGAGGAAAAACAAAACCGTAGGCTTTAAGATGATGAAAAAAATAAAGAAAAGAAAGAAAAAGAAAAAAAAGGAAATGCAAGGTGTGTGTCTATCGGTTTGGTTTTAGCACTGAATAACTGCTCTGAGAGCGGCGCTGACGGCGCGGACAGCTTGCTGGATCACTCAATCACGCAACGCACCGGACCCGCACCAATCGACATGCATCATCAACAGTTTCACAACTCATATGGTAATGTCGTTCGTTATTTATCCTAAATTCATCATCATCACCACCACCACGCAATCTCAATCAAATCTTCATCTCGAGAGCCTATTACCATCATCATCATCATTATCATTATCATCATCGTAGTTATATATATGTGTATATATGTATTGCTCTAATCTCAACAGCTTACGCGTCAAGCAGTACCACGTATATTTCGTTAAATACACCACAATATTCGTCACAATAGATCTTTTTATTAGTTCTGCTCCAAGTAAAAAAAAAGAAAAAAGGTTGTGCTCATCATTGGACATTTTCACCACATTCATCCATTTAGCTTAAAACATCCAGATTAATAACTTTGTACTAACATCAAATTTTCTTTCTTAATTCTTCGCAAACTTTATTCTTCATCTGCTTCGGAGCAAGTCTTCCATACATCTATGTACTTATTTAAAAATGTAAGAGCTCATATTGAAACGAGGGAGATGTTTGGACTGATGTACGAAGGAAAAGAAATAATACCTATGGGGTACGAGCAACGTGTATTATTTAAGCGCGGTGGCTCAGTTGGTTAAGTCGTGGATTGGCACGCGGGGGAGACCGTCGTTCGATTCCCGGCCAGTGCTACTTATTGGTCAAGTACCTCTGTGATTTTTCACACGTGCTTTTTCACCACGCAATGCTCCTCGAGGAGGGTTTAAGCAGCAAAAATTGCCTAATTTTCCCCTACCCCCAGTAATAATGGGAGGCCTCCATCCCTCTTCCCTTCCTTCTCCCAAGTGCTAAGTACCCATAGTAGTGCCCTATTAGAGCACTACAATATAAAAAAATTATATACATATAATTGCAGCTCGAGTAGAAACCCCCGGTTCCCATATGTATGAGCGGACAAAATGAGAAAGTCTAACATTGAAAGTGGACAAATAGAAGGGAGCATCGGGGGGGGGGGTTCGGCGATTGAAATTAGAGTCCGTACAATCGAAGAGTCCAAAGACCCGCGAGGAGACGGGGACGCACGGAGAATGGAAAAAGGGTTGCTGGAGGAAAGATGAGGTATGGATATAGCGAGTGCAGGGCATGTACAGCACACAAGGTACACGGAATCGGGAAAACGATAGTTAGACCCGACGTTATTCGTCGGGGGGGAGGAGGTTGGAGGTGGAGGAGCACGCAAGAATGGAAGGGAACGAGTCGAAGGTAATCCCGCTACTCTTCGGGAAAGCTCATTCAAATCCCACGCTAAATTTCAATCCAACGTGCATAAAAGTTTCGCCACTACGGGCCTCCTTCCTTCAGTTTGCTTCTTCTTCTTCGTCGTCTTTGTGAAATTTCTCATCAGTTCCACTTCGACAACTATATGTACGTATAGGTATTTGCGCTGCATCAGTAAAAATTTCTTAAAACGCGCTTGGATCGAACTTCTAATGCTTAGAAAATGTATACATACAGATTCAACGCCGTGAAAGCAATTCTCAAGAGTAATCCTTTTTTTTTTTTTTTTTTTTTTTAAATTCATCATCACCCCCCTAAGGGGCTCAGACATAGCTATTTTTACACTATAAAGTGTCACTTAGCCATACGTTGTTTAATTAACAGTAGGTGAGAAATGGTAGGTTTATTGAAGCTGAAATCCCGTCCAGAACAAAACCTCATTTATTAATGAAAATTTTGGTCCAGAGAGGGATTTGAACTCCGACCATCAAGATCTGTATAGACGTGGTACTGACAGAGCCATCATGTGGCACAAGAGTAACCATATAGTTGCAGTCGAAGGGGTTTTTTTATACCTTGAAGACTCATTCATTGATCAAAAAAGAAAAAAGGGCCAGATAAATTGATTGATTTCACTATTTTCCCAATCATTGGTCGTATCGTAAAAATTTCATTTGAGATATTTCGAAGCACTCGCCACTCTTTTGGTACAACGCTAGGAAGTTTATTTTACAATTTTCGCAAGCAAACGCTACTGTTGGAACGTTTTAATGGAGATCCGCGTGCTTTTAATCCCCATGTCGAAAGGAGATCCCTCCCTTAGGCGTAGGCGATTATTGGTACGTACCTACTCAGGTCGCAGAGGATCGGGCCGTCCAGTACAGCGATGATCAGAAATGTTCGTGGGACTGCAGCAGTGCCAGGGGGTAGCCATCACCTAATATCACCACCACAATGACAGTATAAACCATATAGCAACATCGTGTCCGAATATCCACACCGAGTCAAGTCAATGGTGATTGACGACGCTCTATAAGCTCAAACAGCCATGAACCACCCCTAAAATGTATATGTGGTACGGAACCCCGTGGAGGCACGAAAAAAAGCCATCCGAGAAGAAAATCCTGTGTAGGTTCTTAGCTGTATACAGTGCTCAGATGGATATGGGTACGGCTGGGAAAAGGGGGCCACTTACCCAACCGCCCGGTACAACCTTCCGCTCTTAGTAAGATCAATTTTTCGATAATGAAGACTGTTTGTATCGGGCCAAGTTAGCAACTGCTGTTTCCTTTTTTTCCTCCCCCATACCCATGCCCCAAACATTTATTGTAACACGTACGAACCGGACACCCGTCCGTCTTTCAAACGGAGGAAAGTTTAACTAAAAGCGGCTCGCGCGAGTTAAAACTCGACTTGTCCGATTCGATTGCGGGTACCTACTTGGTTGAAAAACTTTTTCTACCACCCAAGATATAGCCGCCGCTGTCTCTTCCAACATCGCAATACTATACCTGTACATATCGTAGACCCATAGGGCTAATGCCTCTTTTGTTTCTCGACAAGTATTGGCCAATCCATCCTGTAACTGTACGTACATGTATATGGATGGACGAGAGGAGCGGTGCGTTAGGTATCGCTAATTTTCCAACCCCCCCTTTCGTCGATACCACCATTGCTGGAAAAAGTAAGCGCCGACCGAGCTTGTTCTCACTTGTGCGTCTTTTACGTGATTTTTTTTTTTTTTTTTTCTTCCCTACTGTACGTTTTTTGGGAAATCATCGATGTACCAGGGGACCTGAGTCAAAGAGCGAGTTAGCGGTAAAGCACAAGTAAAGCAACTTTGCCAACGCACGCATGTACAATGTAATGATAAAAAAAAAACGCGACGGAGTGGTGAACGCGACGCGCGTCACGTGTGTTCGAGCACGATGAGCTTGCAGAGAGAGAGAGAGAGAGAGAGTAAGAGAGATTACACGGAGGAGGAGAAGGAGGGAACGGCGAGGTACGTACATAGGTATATTATATACGCAGCCGCGCATTATGCACCACTGTTTGCTCGCCTCGAAACCATATAGGTATGTACATGGACATTTATGCACAATACCCACAGTGGCCGGATATGACTGGTACACGTGTGTAACACGCAACTTATGCGACCAACCGGCCGATCCAGGGTGGGGGGCGCAGGGGTCAAATAGAGGCAGAGAGTTGGCCCATCAGCTTTTCTCTCTCTAGTCTAACGACTTTCCGATAATGGCTCCCAGCCGCCTGCTGTGTCCCCAGCATCCGCACACACGCACGCCGTCTATACTCTACACCACTTTGAATAATAATAATAATAAAATTAAAAAAAACTCGGGGTAATGGTGTGCTCTCGCTATTAGGTGTATACACTTACTTTTTCCCGCTCTCGTTTTAATGTTCATCTTTGCTCGTTTCACCATTTCGTTTGCTTTCCCATTCCGTACATCCAATCCAATTGATTCTCGCACGTATTGTATATATAATAAGCTGATGTAGGTATGTGTCGATGATCCATCTTGTGTGCGTCGCGATGATTCGCTTGTCCGACCGTACTCGGCTTTTACTACTTAGGTATATACATACTGCACCGAGTTGTGACGTTATATACTCAGTTTACTCTGGTTTATAATGTAGAACATAGACAAAATGTAGGTAGGTATATTAAAAACAACAAGAGCCACAATGTACATATATTATATAACTTTTTGATGAAAGATATGATATACGATGGATATTGTCGGTATACAAGACATAGCTGTACATAGCAAAAAGGCCATCGGTTGTTGTTTCGAGAGTCATGCAGGTGGCAGGGACAGTAGGTAGTTGGTGGTGATAGATGGTAGAGTCCTTGTGTGTGTGGTTGTAAGTATTATTATAATGAGCGAGCGATGTAGACGCGTGCGCGCGCGCGTGCCGATGCAACATCAGCAGCGTTGGATTGCTAAAGTAGGTCGGTCTTGAAGATTTTTTTTTTTTTTTTTTTTTTTTTTTTCGGTAGCGAGGCAGCGCGATGAAAATTGAATGTGTACATTAATCGGCGTATAAGTACAAGAAAGGAGAAATTGTATGAGAAACAATGCGTACCTGAAGGGGCGCGTATGAAGAAAAAAAATATACACAATATACAGTAATCGGTTCCTCGCGGGTCTCGCGTTCAAACGCCAAACAATGAAAGGAGCGAGCATCGTGGACTCGTCTGATAATTGATGGCAGCTACCTATACACAGTTTAATAATTAAAGACAAACCGACGAATCGAACCGACGAGGGGTCGACAGGTGATGGTGTGTACACTTATTATTTTGTAGATACAAGGAGCCACAACGTGTCCTATGCAGTGCGCGTACGCGAATATTATTCGGTGTGCATATGACCTATACGTACCCAGCACACAAGTTGCAAATCAAAAGGAGAAGTTGAAACGCAAAAACAAAAAAAAGTTACACCGATGCTGGGGTTATCTTGCACTCACGACAGATAGACCGCTAAAACGGGAACGAGGAGCACGTATATACGTAGATATATTTATGTAATATCTGTGTACATTATTGTAGAGGGAGAGGAGTTTGGATGTGTGTGTGTATAGGTACCCACACCTTATAGCGATATACCTGCGCATTGCTACCCCTGCACCACCACCACCACCGACCGACCGACCGACCAACCAAGCAAGCGACCAACCAACCGTGCCGCCGACGTAGGTATATACACCTACCGTCTATCGATTTCTACTTACTACGTTCGAGCTACGTCGACTCTCTCCTCCTCCGCCCTTGTCTCTTGTGT